TCATTAACCTGACGACAAAATGACGTCAGTAAAAGCATAAATTATTCCTACAGATTTTATCATCACGTTGACTTCGTTGTCATCGGGGATCTTTATTTTGCCCATTTGACGTAACAATGTAAAACGCCTTTTCCGCTTACTTCAAGTTGAATAAAGTAGAAGGGTGGTTAAAGCCTCACACGGTGCAATTTTTGCATTAGATTCATGCTAGTCTCTTCAACCAACCTTGCTTTAAAAAAGTAACTGCTCACATTCTTCTAAGATGGGTTGTGAAGAAGTACAACCCATTGGACTAATTGGGGTGATGATAATCTCTCAACTAGAGTTCATGTATTTATATTTATATCCCCTTGTCCGAATAGAATAAGGTGTACTGATTATAGTGGGAACATGAAAACGTGTTTAAGACTTATTCTGAAGTGAAACGACCGGTGGAAAGTGCGGCGTAGGCAACAATAATTAACATTGAATAAACTCCTGAAATCTCTGGGACAAAAAGTCTCCAATATGAAATTATTCCCTCTTCAACAGTATCGAGGAGGCGGAGTGCATAGTGTAAATAGCCACAAAGCTTATTCATTAAAATTCAATTGAGGATACGTTAACGATGTACAGACAAATGATTGTTGGCTGGATGAGAGAACTCTATACTCAAGACCACACTTTCCTCCTAAGTCGTGGTTCACTCCACAATACTATTGAACTACTAGGAAGGGAGGGGGGGGGGAGTGGGGAGGGATGAGAGCGGAGTAGAGAACGATTTGTTGTAACTAGAAAGGAGGAGGAGGAGGAGGCAAAAGCAAGTTGAGGAGAAGAACAATGTGAAGAATACCATCCATTCATATTGTCATTCAAATACATCTCATGCAACGTTTGAAGCTTAATGCGTCAGTGAAGGGGGGGGGGAGATATGAAAAAAATCGGATTTCTTACGAAATAAAGAAAGTAGATAAAAGTGGGAAAAAAACAATCCAAACTTCAATTCTGTTAAACAAGAAAATTTCATTTGCTGCTTTGAATATTTTGTTGTAAGGGTTTAAGGCCAAATATTCAATTGCAAGTATGCTGCATTCTAGATAGGCAAATTGAGTTTGATGCTAAAGCGAAAGTTCACCGAGTAAAGGAAAAAGAGTTTCAGGTACTCCAAAGACCAATCAATAGATCGTAAATAATGAAAAATATGCATTTTCATTATTTAAGGAGATCAGACTATTTTTTTTGAAACCGACTTCAATAATACATAATTCTATCCTTAGTTATTTATATCAAATAGCGGGCTTTATGATAGTTATCATTGGCTCTTTAATTGATTTTGGGCTTCACAGAGGGGAGGAACATCGAAGTCACAAAAAGCAAAAAGGGAGGGGGAACAGAAGAGTGATTTACAGATGTAAAAGAGAGGCGGATACGGGGGTAGAGAAGAAGGCATAGTAAGTACTGTGAAAGAGGTCGAATATGACATACAATTGGGTCATGGTAGTTTAAAGTCTAAAGACAACAACCACTTTATAGACTATTTTGGCTTTATGAGTATACGTTGCACAGAATGCATCACGTGGAAGCAAGACTATCGTCCACCACATTCTATCCCTATCATTTAAAGGAAGTTAATTATATAGATGGTTAATTAATATTCGACGCATAGTTATTTCCAATACTGGCAAGGTTGCATCTAGATTTAATTGAAACTGATAATGCGGAGTAAACGGTTTTTTCTCTACTCCAAGGATCCTATAACTTGAAATTAATATTTTCTAACTCCATAGCAAAATCTTCTAATTTTAAAATAGTATTTTCACAACGAAGTTCAACAAAAAATTATAGGACGTCAGTCAATTGACAAAAAAGTTGGAGCGGATTGCTACGCTAGTAAAGCCTGACTGACTCAGAAATCTCTATGGCAGATTCTCCAACATCTAGCTAGACTCCCAGAACAAGCTAAGCTATAGCCCAGCTATAGGGGAAACAGACGTGTAGCAAGGAATACGTTTATTCGATGCGTATATTAATAGCGAAGTGTTCAGTTTGGCAAAGCAATTAGTTATCAGATAATTCTAGCATAATTCGTGTGAACATTAATAGCTAAAATATTTCTGAGTAATGTTCTAAAGCAGGATTTCTATTTGGTCATTGATGATGTGTCCCACAAAGCAATAACCGAAAATGCACTGCACATATATCGTCAAAACTAAATAGAAATACCGATTGTAAGTGACAAACTAAAATGAACTACTCAGAGAAACAAAGTACACCAGAATCCGTAAAATAGGAGCCAAAGTAAACTGAATTATGATTAGAAAAATCAATAATTCTCAAGGCACGATCGGCATTTCATGTGTTCATTCCAACTCTCAATCTAATAATCAATTTCAGAGCACATTATTTACGATAAGCCTTCATTAATTCAATCATGGAAAAAGAATAAAATGGTTGAAAAGTTGGTGGACATAGTAAATGCAATTATTTGCTCATGGTCAGTGTCAATGCAAATGAATGAAATGTGTTTAAATGTTTAAAATGTATTCCAATAGATGACCCTGTGATTGTGGTATAAATTGAGCGGCATCTTTGCGTTCGGTTAAATTCGAAAGTGCTTATCTTCGATATGGCGAATGAAGACAAGGAGAATGTGGTAAGGGTCGGTGTAGCATTGCTATTGAGTTTATGTTGGCATCTAATGCTCTCGTATTTCCTAACTAGGCCATTGAACCCCTCCTTGAGCCGAACCCCAGTAGGTTTGTTGTGATGCCCATCCAATACCACGATATATGGGAGTTCTACAAGAAGGCAGTGGCTTCCTTCTGGACCGTGGAGGAGGTTGACTTGACGAAAGATCTCACTGACTGGGAGAGACTGAATGATGGTGAGCGTCACTTTATCTCCCACGTGCTGGCTTTCTTCGCAGCCAGTGACGGAATTGTGAACGAGAATTTGTGCATGAACTTCTGCCAAGAGGTTCAAATTCCGGAAGCTCGTTGTTTCTATGGGATGCAAATTGCAGTAGAGAACATCCACTCGGAGATGTATTCACTGCTCATCGATACCTACGTGAAAGAGCCGGCCAAGCGTGATTTTCTCTTCAATGCGATTGAGACTCTGCCATGTGTGAAGAAGAAGGCGGATTGGGCACTGAGGTGGATCGCGAACAAAGACGCGACGTATGCGGAGCGTGTTATGGCGTTTGCTGCAGTGGAGGGGGTTTTCTTCTCGGGTTCATTCGCCTCGATCTTCTGGTTGAAGAAGCGTGGCCTAATGCCGGGTCTCACCTTCAGTAACGAGTTGATTAGCCGTGACGAGGGTCTGCACACAGATTTCGCCTGTCTGATTTTCAAGCACATCGTGAACAAGCCGTCGGCTAAGCGTGTCCATGAGATCATGCGTGATGCTGTTGAGATTGAGTGTGAATTCCTCACTGACGCTCTTCCCGTTGATTTGATTGGCATGAACTGTCGATTGATGTGCCAGTACATAAGATATGTGGCTGACCGCCTTCTGAGTGAGCTGGGTTATGAGAAGGTAGGCGTGTCTGTTAATTTGCTGCTGCCTCTTTTGATATTGTACAAAGTAATCCATACCCTCCTCTTCCCCCCCCCCTTCTAGATCTACAAAGACACAAACCCCTTCGATTTTATGGAGAACATCTCTCTGGAAGGCAAGACCAATTTCTTTGAGAAGCGTGTTGCTGAATACCAACGTGCAGGTGTTATGTCTCGAATGAGAGGTGAAGATACCCACAAGTTTACAACCGATGAAGATTTCTAAGGAAATGACCTATTTTGCCTAAATAAATGTGTATTTGTATATCATTCAATTTGGTGTTTTTGTTGTCGTCGATGGGTTTGTTAGGGCATTGATGGGGAGGGGTTTGGAGCGTTGGGACAGTTGATGTTTCATGATCGATGCACTTTTGAGTATTAGTCACTTCTTTGGTGAGTGGAAAATGACGTGGCTGTTTATTAGGAATAATGGAGTGCGTAATTGGGGGAGAACTGCGCACTTGTGATCACTTGGGACAGTTTGTGATGGAATAACTTCAACTCTAGCTGTGCTTGGATGTGGTGAAATGGTTGCAGTAAGCTGCTTCATTTGACATTGAATCTTGATTCGTATGAATTACCCATTCCTAGGTGAAGCGTATCTGTAGTAATTGTTGTGTGTTGGTGTTGAGTATGCTGGGAGTAAGAGTTCCTTATGGAACGTGACGATGCGATTCTGTTGGGGAATTAGGATGTGGTTTGGATGTCTGAGTCTTGCCACTGTTTAGTTTTGCAGTGAGTTCTCTCTTGCTAATTCAATGTTAGTGGTATATTTTGTGGGCGATAGAATTACCTCCACGTGTTGCACCCTGGGCAGCACATACTCATACGGCCAAAAAAGTCTAAAAGTTGACAGTTGACTTCAAACTACCATGACCCCACTGTGTGCCATATTCGCCCACTAACACGGTTCTCACCTTTTATTCTTCTCCACCTTTGTGTTTATCTGTCTGCCCCTTACACATCTGTGAATTACTCTTCTGTTCCCCGTCCCTCTCCACTTGTTGTGACTTTGCAGTTCATCAACTCTGTGAAGCTAGAAGCCAACTAAAGGACTAATGATAACTATCATAAAATCTGTCATTTGACAGAAATTTTAGTTATGCTTAAATAAAGTTACCGACAAATACTTGATGTACGTTCTTGTAGACCTCTATGATTGTGTAATCTAGGAGAATTGACAAAGCTAGGAATTGGAAGTTCGAATTTGTGTTAAGAAATTGGAATGAACAATATGCGTTTAATTCGGAGAATTTCTTAATAGACTCACGAGCTAGTTTACCCAAGCAACTGCAAATGAGTGCAAAGATGTTTCGAATCTCAAGCAGAACTTCAATATGTGCAAATGTGCTAAATCGAATTAGGATTGAAATGTTTAATTAATAATACCACAATAGTCCCCATGATTAGAACGACTGTACTTAACAAATTGGTGCTTCATTTAAAATGTTAGCCTGTAGCTTAGAAGTCACTTTGATATTTCCTAATGAGGGTTGTGCGATAGACTTACCTCCACGTAGTGCATCCTGGGCAACGTACCCTCATACGGCAAAAAAGTCTATAAACCGGCAGTCGACTTCTGATTTCAAACTACCATGATCCCACTGTATGTCTTATTCGATCACTTCCACCATACTTATCCTACCTTTTCTCTGCCCTTGTGTCTGTCTGTCTTTTTAACAACTTTAAATCATTCTTCTGTCCTCCCTCTCAACTTTTTCTCATTTTGATGTTCCTCCTTTCCTCTGTGAAGCCCGAAGTCAGCTAAAGGGCAAATGATAAGTGTCATAAAGCCCGCCATTTGAAATATATAAATACTTCCTAATGGCACAAAGTAAGTGAGTTCAAGATTCGTATGGTTTGTGGAAGTTCAGGCCTGATTAAATTATAAATTAATTAATAAGTTTGACTAATTTACTAGTTTAGCATTTATTCAAACTGATATTGAACCCGAGAACCGGACCTTCAATTGGACGCTTATAACCGACCATATTTTGATGGAAGAATGGAATATGAAATTAACGCATTAGCAAGTAGTTCACCCAATCTCCTCATAAACAGTAAATCATACAGACTCGTTAAAATTCTAAATTGNCGTCAAAGTGATACTCTCTTAGTTGATTGGCCGGCTGTTTCTGGCTATATTTCAGTGAATGGGTGTTCAGGCTTTTTGTGAACTCATTATGGCCCAAATGCTGGTCATCCATTAAGACTTGGCAGATGGTGTTAGATGTTGACTGATTTGAGGGATTTTGACTAATCAAATCTCGATAATCACTTTGACCAAGAAATGGAAATAATTAATGCGAATGTGTGTTGTGATGTGATATGATGTGAGATGAAGGAAATTGAGGCGAATTCAGTTGAATGGTGTAAGATTGGTTGTATTAGATTCCAACTCAGGATATTTTCAACTTCCTTCCTGATGAGACTCCCAAATCTCACATGTGGAAGAAGGCCTCTTTCAAGGCATTATTATCCGATAAATCTCTAAGTAACATTAAGTGAAATAGACTGATATTTGCAAACGATGGATTGGCAGCGTAATTGAAGTAAAGGAGACTTATCTTGTTCCTCACAAGTTTTCAAGTTTGTTAGTGCTTTGTGTGATTGCACTCTGACAGAACATCTCCCATCTGTTAGAAAAGTGCCCAACTTAAGTAATGATTGGAAATGTGTGGCTCAGTACTTTGAACTATTACCGACGTGTATGACTGAGAGATTGGAGAGATTCACAAGTTCCAATGGACGAATTCTATCAGTCCAACGACATCTGCTTGAACGTTTCTAAACAAGTTTGACAAGTTGATAGGGATGTGGATTAAACTTGAGGGTAATTGGCGCATTTTGGGAGAACATCTGACAAGGTGAGAATGCGAGTGAAATGTCTTTGCAAGGATGATTCATGTCCGTGTGCCTTGTGAACTATTTTTGACGCGACGCATAAGGTCAACTCTCTATTGACATCCTAACTATTCCACTTAATGTCAATTTGATGTTTCATGAAAATCTTAAATCCAGCCATCATGTCACATGTCCATTTATTGACACCAATTATCCATTTTCTATGAGATGAGATCACGGGTTATCCATAGGATTATTTGCAGATAAATTCGGTGTGCCAATATGGATTCTCCCTAATGAGAAGTGCATTCCACTATCCAACTTTTCAGAACTAACTAATGTGGTTGGTCATTCCTCTCACTGGTTGAAAATCTCCAGTGTGCATCAGACTCCTGATCTGATGCTGTAGATATGAATCTTGACTGTTGCACCACCAACAAACAGGGAGCACAAACATTGTGGTGATCATTCGTGTGTCAGTTGAGTACTGATTCTTCTTCTTCTTCTTCTTCTTCTTCTTCTTCCTATTCTCGTCTTCACATGAACGAATGTGCTCTGTGCTATTTAATTAATCTAAGTAGCACACTACAATGGAGTGGTAATTGGAATAGAAAATGTCAGATAAGTTGTATGTCTCAAATGCAAATTGTGATTAGTTAATTCTGTGGAGAAGATTGTTGATAGGCCATTGACATAATTTAATGCTTTTGAGGTATATTAATGTATCGTTGTTATCAAAATTAAAAATGATGTTATGAATGAATTGGGAAGAGAAGTTTTGATTAATTAATATAGTTGATTGAAATGGAAAGAGCATTGCCATTATCACTACATTACATACAGTTCAGTCAAGCATTTATCAGTCTTCACAGTCAGCAGTCACCAACAACGCATACCTGAATTACTCCTCGAATGTTTACTCGCTTCATATTTCGCTGCAATTGAAAATGAAAAGCATACTGATTCTTATTCACTATAATTTCTATTTTGAAGTGTTGTCTTCTCTGTTATTCTTCCTCTTAGGTTGTTTAATTCTTCTTACATAATATGTTCAAGTGTGCCCTGCTGAATCGCGGATGTTTCAGCAAGCACCGTGTGCAATCTTCAAAACTCATCTCCTATGTCAAGAGAAGGCTAACCATAGATTTGCTCGAAAATATTAGGAATTCCTTAGCTTTTCTCATTCATTTTAAAGGCAAAGAAAGGTTAAATTCTTCCACATTCCTTAAATTTTGATTATGAAAGTTTATTTTATTATTGGTATTTGTGAATGAATCATGCATTTTACTGCTATTTGCTATTTTAATGCATTGTAATCCATACTCAAGGTGTGTGTTCGAACCTCGTTTCTATAAAGATAGCTAAAATCTAACTCGAAACAAAAATTTACACTTCAAATATTGAAAGTTAAATTGTATTTATCATTGGCCTTCCTTTCAATGTGTCTACGACCATTAATTTAAAAAATATATATAATGACAATTAGATAATTATTAATGTTACGATTTTAAAGTATCTAGATTAAACGAAAAGAATAAATGATCATATTGTATTTATGTATACTTTTATTAAAAAATTATTAATTGTTTCAATATACCAGTTAGAAGGTTTCATTGCGACAGCACCCAATCAGCGTATTATCAACTCCATGCTTATAGTAGGGCCTATTTTATTGAACTGTCAGTCGCCACATGTTCGTCGATTTTCTCTTTGGATCTTAGTTAATATTGTTTTACTTTGTGATACTTCTCTTACTTCAATTTCTTATATTTGACGATTTTGACCTAGGTGCAAATAATTTCTTACTAAAATGTCAAAAATTCCTTCAAGCATTTCTAAATCCCCTTCTAATACCTATTGGGCTGTGGCTATTCTCAATTATAAACCAAAAGATTATGACGAGCTATGTCTGACTAATGGACAGGCGATTCAAGTAATTATTATTATTTTATTTGATGCCCTTAAATGCATTAAATTGTTCTAATTGATTCATTGTATCAAAAGACATTAGAGAGTATGTTTTATTTAATATCTTTATCTATCTAGGTTTTATCAGTTGATCCACAAGTGTCTGGAAGCACAGGGTGGTGGGTTGGCCAAGATTTTAATGGGAACGTTGGTGTCTTTCCAGCTAACTACGTTCAGCTTCAAGAGAGTCCTCCTAATGCAATTGACCTTCAAAATTCCTCCGGTGAATTTAGCTCATCTTTCCAGGATTTTAATACCTCATCTTTCTTCATGGACAGTACTTTAGTCGGGGCTCGCGTTGTTGGCCAATCCGCAACCACAGATTCTTCTCTTGGCACTGGGGTGGAGAGTGATGTCGATTTTAGATCACGTCAACAAACAAAGTTCGAAAGTCTTTCGGGTGCGCTCTCTCAT